TAGCGGCCGGGGGCTGGCAGTGGCCATATTGCCATATTGGACTCTGCTCATAAGGGACACTGTCCATCATCTGTTCTGTTGGCCAGCAAGTCCCAAGATGGGGTCCCCTCAGCTTTCACCGTGTCTACACACAGCCTGCACCCCTGCATAGCCAACCATGATGGGCATCTCTGCCTTCCCGTGCCCAGAGGCCAGCTCTGCCTTCCCCCATCTAGTAGGCCCTTGCCATGTTAGTGGAAAGCAACTCCATCCTTCCAGTCACTTGGACCACAACCTTGGAGTCACGTGGACCTCTCTTGCCCTTATAACCTTCATCCAGGTCATCTGCAAGTCTCACCAACTTGACCTTGAAGATGACTCTGGAATCCAACCACCTCCTCCTACCACCCCTGCCCCCACTCCCACAGTCTGCCCTCAGCCAGCAGATTCTGCCAACCCTTAGGCAGACAGTGCCCATCCCCTGCTCAAACTTTCCCAGGTATCTCGTCACACACAGACACAACCCCAAGTCCTCCCCTAGGGGTAGGGCCTGGGTTGGCTGCTGGTACCTCTCCCACCATCTCTGCTATCACTTTTTTCTCTTTTCTTACTGCAGAGGGCATGTGTGCTCATGAGAGAGACAGAGACAGAGGGGGAGAAAGCGCCCCGCGATGGAGTATGCTCATGCTGCAACCCACTCTCCTCCATCTCTTTTGGGATTTGGGGCATGCACACACATGCACCTGGCGTTTTTCAACCTGGGACTCAAACTGCACAGTTGACCACGTGGGATCCAGCTCCCTTAGCCACCAGGCCACAGGGCCAGCCCTACTATCACTCCTGTCTCTGAGCAGGCCACTCCAGCACGCCTGGAAACCCACCGCGTTCTCTTCTCCCCACATATGCTCGTCGTTCTGTGCCGGTAACATCCTTCCCCCAATGCCTGCAAGGCTCAAGTCCTCCCCTCAGCAAGGGCTCTCTACTCCAGCTCCCCCTCTAGACCCGGGCTGTGTGATACAACAGCCTCGAGGCACAAGCGGCAATTGGGACAGAAACGAAGACCAAGTATGAGGAAAATGCAGGTCCTCAATGAGCAGTGAGCCGGCCAACAAAAGCAAACAGTGTATGATCCTGGGGCCAGCAGGTGGTATAGTGGTTCAGGTGTTGGACTCCCACATGGCTAACTGTGGTTCAAGGCCCAGACCCAGCACCTAGAAAATTGTATTAGGTGTGTGTGCACCTTGGAGGAGAATGGAGAAGGTGACCATCTCCCCGGGGGCGGGGGGGGAGTGACTTCTCTTTTTCCCTCTCTGTCTCTATCTCTTTCTCTTTGGCGAGCACATGCACCCTATGGCAAAGAAATGAAAACCAAAAAAAGAAAACAAAAAAGCAGTGTGTGATTCCACCCACAGATGGCACGTGGAGTAGTCAAAGTTACGGAGATGGGAGGTAGGATGGCGGGTGTCATGGGCTGGGGACAGGGAATCGTGGGGAGTCACCTAACAGCAGAATTTCAGTTTTAAAAGATAAAAAGAGGAGGGATCAACAGGTGGCGTGGTGGTTAAGACACTGGACTCCCACATGGCTGACCCAGGTTCGGGTCCCAGACCTGGTGGCTTGCTTTCTCACTTTCCCTCTCTCTGGTCAAAATAAAAAATAACAATAAATTTTTTTAAAAATTCCTTTTTAAAAAAAATTTTTGGAGAGGTTTTTGCGATAGGGTGAGTGCGCTTGCCAGACAGACACAGAGAGACAGAGACTGAGAAATCACCCCCCGGGGGGGATGGCCATGCCGCAATCCCTGCTCCTCCATTCTCCTCTCGGGATCTTGGGCGCACTAGCTTCTCCCTCTCCATCTATCACCAGTGAGCGCACACACCCTATGGCAAAAACGAAAAAAGATCAAATAAAACCTACTTCATTTATTCTGAGACGCACTTTACTCTCTTACGTGTTTTATCACCCCTGAAATTAGGATGCACCTTTTCTCAATGGTGTGTCAGTTGAATTAGCAGTCCATGTAAAATACTACAACGGCTTACTCGATGGTCTCTTAGAGCGGAGAGCCCCGAGCCCTGGGACAGGGACTAGGACAGGTGAAGAGCTGGGCGGCACAGCAGGGGGTGAGGGGCGGGCGGCAAGGGAAGCTCTATCTGTATTTACAGCCACTCCCCATCGCTCGCGTGGCCGCCTGAGCGCCACCTCCTGTCAGACGGCAGCGCACAGATTCTTGGAGGAGCACAAACCCTACTGTGAACGCGCATGCAAGTTCTGTCTTCCTGGTCGGATCCACGCGTGTGAAGCTCAGGCCTCAGTCCTACGTACGTGCTAATGCATGAACTGGCCTGATGCGTTCTGTGGCTAGGCTGCAGCCTCCGGGTCAGGGTCCTGTGGGGGCCAGGCAACCCAGGCCATGCTCCTGGACAGAAAGTGACTGACTGAAGAGGAACGTGCCTCTGATCCACCAAACAAGGGCTTTCCAGGCCTCGAGGGACCATTGATGGGGAACAGCTTATTCCCGGCCACAGGGCCACCAGAGGGCACCAGGGAGTCAGGGCTGCTGTGGGAGAAGCCCAGGTCAAGCTAAGCCTGCTTCGCTCAGTTAATGGACACTGGCTGGTCCTTAGAACTCGGAGGGCTGGCATGTCCTAGAAAAGGAGCCCAGCCCTTCCATGGGAGATCCCAGCCCTAGCGACAGAAGGGCATGGTCTCTGGTCGGCCAGGGCAGACGGGCTCAGGCTCTTAGGCCTGACTGAGCCCCGGAAGGAGAGAGAGACCCCACTTAGCATCTAAGTCCTAAATGGTCAGACCGTCGAGGTTCAGCCTGGGCCTAGGACCCCCGCCCCACCTTACCATGCAGTATGAAGAAGGTCTTGGGGTTAAACCTGTTGGGGTCCAGTCCGTCTAGCTCCTCCCACACCTCCTTCAACTGGGCTTGGCTGCCCTGTGGAGGGGAAAGCCGGGAGCTTGTAAGCAGCCAGTCTGGATGCCAGGGGAGAAGCTAGAGAACCCTTTACCCCATCCAACAAATGCCATGCCCTGCAAGCAAGGCAACTAGGAAAACTACAACTCCCGGCAGTCCCCGGGGCAGCTGAGCATAGTCAGGAGGGGCTCTTTGCCACAGGGGTTGCTGGGAGTTGTAGTTCTTCAACCTTCCCTGGCTTCTGGTGTTGGATGTGGTAGGGGGTGGGCACACGGGGGTGCTTACAGGCACGTTGACTTTGGGGTGCTCTCGGTGCCGGCGCTGCTGCTCCTCAAGCTTCCTCTCAGCCTCCTTGCGCTGCTCTTCTCCCAGAGACTCCAGATAACGGCGCCGCTCGTGCTCCTTGAACATCTCGTAGCGTTTGAACTCCTCGTGATGGGCTGCGTCGTACTGGGCGAGGTCGCGGGTGGCCTGGGAATGGCAGGCCAGTTTCCTCTCGCCCCTGTGCCTAGCCACAAATTCTTTCACCCTTTTTTTCTTTTTTTGGGGGGTATCAAATGTATTTATTTATGCCATGAGAGAGACACACAGCATTTCCAACAGGACCTCGACACCGTATCTACCTCCAGCCTCAGCCAGCCCCGGACCGTGGGCACGTGTGTGACCACAGCACCCAGGGAGGTCTCTGGACACAAACCCAGAACCTTCCATGTGGGTCAGTCTCTCAGAGCATTGTGCTTCATCCCTGTGTCGCCGTTTGGCCACCCGGCCCCTAATTTCTAGGGCCCCTAATTTCAGGTTCTTGGCCCTGAACCTGACCGGGGGAGCCCCAGCCTCTACTTGGCCCCTGAGACCGTTCCTGCCCCATCACGCACCCTCCTCTCTGGGAGATGCCGGCAGTCCCTCGGCAGCGGCTTCCACCCCCTTTGAAGTCCTCCACTAACTCAAGGACTTGGAGGAAGACGGAAAGGACACTCATGCAGCAGGCATGTGGCAGCAATCAGGGCGTGGAGGTGGCCAGGAACCCGCGGCTGTAATGACCCCGCCCAGGGCTAAACCCAGGCTCCGCTGTGCGATCACGGCAGCTGTCAGCCTCTCCCTGTGAGATGGCGCTCTCTGCTGTCCTGAGCTGAGAATGACCCCAGAATCATGTCTAGAACCTCAGAATGCGAGTGGCCCTACCTGGAAATAGGAATTTTGCAGATGTAACGGTTAAGGTCCCTACGAGGGACCAGCAGATGGCATAATGGCTATGTTGCTGGACTCCCAAGTAGTCGACCGTGGTTCAAGTCTTGGACCCACTGACTTAAAACTCACGCCGGGCACATGTGTGTGTGTGCCCAATATCCCAAGAAGAGAGTGGAGGAAAAGGGATTGCGGCGAGATCATTCCCCCCTGGGGGGTGTGATTTCTCACTTTCTGTCTCTGTCTCTGGTGAGTGCATGCACCCTAATGCAAAAACCTCTCGAGGTTACACGAGCCCTACGCCAGGAACTGGTGCCTTTTTTTGTTTAAAGTAAAGGATTATTTTACTGGAGCTAGCAGGTGGCATGGTGGTTAAGGAGCTGATCTTCCACGTGGCTGACCACAGTTGAGTCTCAAACCTGGAGGGCCTGCTTTCTCACTCTCCCTCCTCTGTGTCACTCTCTGGTCAAATTAAAAAGTAGTAGTAATAATGATACATAAAATTAAATAAATATATATTTTTTAAAATAATTATTTTATTTAACTTCATTTATTGATTTTAATTTGACCAGAGAGGGACAGAACAAGAGAAAGAAGGAAAGTGAGAAAGCGAGCCACCAAGTCCGGGACTCAAACTGCAGTCAACCACGTCGGAGTCCAGCATCCTTAACCATCATGCAGCCTTTCGGCCCTGGGAATGGTGTCCTTTATTAGAAGGTCACAGAGAGGACAGAGAGACATGCCAGGGAGTCGCCAGGTGACGACAGAGGCAGAGACTAGAGATGTGTCTACAAGCCGCCGAGAGACGCTGGGATTGCCGGCTACCGCCGGGACCGAGGGCGCAGCACGGGTTCCCCCGGTGCCTCCAGAAGGGCCTGCCCTGCCTACACCTTCACTTCTGGCAGACAGTGTTGTTTGAAGCCACTGGTTTTGGGTACATTGTTCTCGTCGTCCTAGGAGACGGATGTACTCTCTCTGAGGAGTGTTTTGGGACTCAATGAGATTCACTCTCCTACTCAACCCTGCCTTGGGGCCCTTCCTGCTACCATCTGGATTAGCAGCTCGAGCACCCAGGACATACCAGCCCTGTCCCAGATGCTGGGGACACAACACAGAACTGCCTAGACTAAAACCCGCCCCGTGGGGCCAGCAGGTGTGTGGAGGTTAAGGTGCTGATTACGGTCCGAGCCCTGGACCCAGTGGCTTGAAACTCACGCCAGCACACGTGTGTGTGTTCCCAAAACCCTGAGAGGAGAATGGAGGGGAAGGGTCTGAGGCATGGCCACTCCCCCGGGGAGAATTTCTCACTTTCCCTCTGTTTCTCTAGCAAGCACATGTGCCCTATGTGAAAAAATAAAACACAGGGGCCGGCAGGTGGCATGATGGTTAAGGGCGCTAGACTCCCACATGGCCGACTATGGTTCGAGTCCCAGACCTGGCAGCTTGGTTTCCCTTTTTCCCTCTCTCTTTCTCTCTCTCTCACTCTGTCCCTCTTTGGTCAAAATAAAATAAATAAAGTAAAAATAAATAAACAAATAACCACACACAAAACCAAAACAAAAAAACCTGTCTCATGGAACTTCATGACCTTCCCATGGGGGACAGCCAGGGGAGGAGAAAGAGTCGGAGAAAATATTAAGTAAAATGGACAGTACAGGGTGGACAGAGGTACAATCGCAGGGAAAGGTGACAGGCTGCAAAACCGAGCCACATGGGAAGGTTCCAGGCACATGCCCATGGAAGAAACAGACACTCAAAAAGTTTTCAAATAATGGGACCAGCAGTTAGCATAATGGCTGTCGCTGGACTCCCACGTAGTCGACCGCAGTTCGAATCCCGGACCCAGTGGCTTAAACTCACACTGGGCATGTGTGCGTGCGTGCCCAAGATCCTGAGAGGAGAATGGAGGAGAAGGGATTGTGGCATGGCCATCCCCCCTGGGGGGTGATTTCTCGCTTTCTGTCTGACACGCTCTGTCTGTCTGGCGAGCGCACGTGCCCTGTAGCAAAAACCTCTTTAAAAAAAAAAAAGTTTTCAAATAATTGGGGCCAGCAGGTGGCATAGAGGCTAAGGCGCTGGACTCCCACAGGGATGACGGCAGTTTGAGTCCCAGACCTGCAGGCTTGCTGTCTCATTCTCTCTCTGGTCAGCACACAGGCCCTAAGGCAAATTAAAATAATAATAATAATAATAATTAATAAATAAAACTAATTTCTTTTTAAACACCGCATGTGTCAGGGACTGAGACTTGGTGGCCAGCTTTTCTACTTGGTGGAGCGGCTGCAATGATCATCATGGACACTAGGTGGCGCTCTAGTGGGGCAGGAAAAACCAGGCAGGACCTCCAGGTCAGGCTGTGGGTGTCTTCTGCCCTGGGGGTGCTGGGAGATAAGGAAGGGCTTTGAGCTGGGGGGTAGGCATCCTCGGCCACTCTCCAGCCTCACCCGTGGCCTTCCCCATGGGGCAGGACTGCTGAGCCCAGTTCTCAGGTATGACCGTACTGGTTCCTAGCGTCCCTGTAACAAGTCACCCAGCGCAGTGGCTCAGAGACAAATCTACTATCTCACGGTCTGGCGGCTGGAAGGCTGAAATTAGTTTCACGGGACTGAAACTCAGCAGTCGGCAGAGCCAGGCTTCTCCGGAGAGCTTGGCATCTCCGGCTTCTAGAAACAGAGTCTGTGGTTCGTGGCCCCTTCTCAGACTCTCTTTTTTTTTGGAGAGGTTTTTGCTATAGGGCGCGTGCGCTTGCCAGAGAGACAGAGAGATGGAAAGTGAGATGTCACCCCCCAGGGAAGAGGGCCACACTGCAATCACTTCTCCTCATTCTCCTCTCAGGATCTTGGGCACGCACGCACACGCACCTGGCATGCTCCCAGGTTCTGAGAGCAGGGTAGGGCACCTGCGGGCAACGAGGCTGAGACCTGGGCCCCGCAAGGACACAGAGGGGAAGCCATGGAGGGACTTGAGCCAGGCTCCCATCTGAGTGGGGCTGAAGCCTGCCTTGCCCGCAGCCGCTGCCCCGGGTGCAGAACCTGGAGAGGGCTTTTGCACGAGGCCGGGCTGGTCAGCCCCAGCCTCACAGAACGCCACCAGGAGGGGCAAGCTGGCTCCTGTCCAGAACCCTATTCCCTTCCCCTCTGCAAAGCTCTCGCCACCCCGCCTCGGGGCCCTTCCCGCTACCGTCTGGATCAGCAGCTCCAGGTCGCGGGCCTCGAAGGTGTGCTGATTCTGAGGGTCCAGGTGTTCGAAGTGCTTCAGCAGGTTCAGGTGGTCCATCTGGGCATCTGGGCAGAGGGAAGGGTCAAACCGACAACTGACTGAGTGGCCTTTCCTTAAAAAATCCCCATCTAGAGACCAGTGGATGGCATAACGGCTATGTCGCTGGACTCCCACGTAGTCAACAGCAGTTCGAGTCCTGGACCCAGCAGTTTAAAACACTGTGTGTGTGCCCAAAATTCCAAGAAGATAAGGGGGAAGAGATTGCAGCATGGCCAAACTCCATGGGGGATTTCTCGCTTTCTGTCTCTCTCCGTCTCTCCAGCGAGAGCACATGCCCTACGGCAAAAATCTCTTTAAAAAAAGAAAAGAAAAGAAAATCAATGAGTAATCAATCTACAAACAGCATTAAAAAGAAGTATATGTATTACTAAGTGAAAGAAGCCACTCTGACAAAGCTACATACTGTATTCTTCAAACTATAATATAAGACATTCTGGAAAAGGCAAAAACATAAGCTACAGAGCAAACTTTATTCAATTCTAGAGATACCATAAAATTTCCATATCAAGACAGCATGGTATGATAAAAGATAAAGGGTATTAATCAATAGAATAGACAATCTAGAAACAAACCTACACGCCACCTGCAAACAAAACATCGCCAAAAAAAAAAAAAAAAAAAAAAAAAAAAGGCACTGGAAAGTCCAGCGGATGGCCTGGCTGAGTCCGGGGCAATCAGGGAGGGCCTCCTGGAAGAGGTGATCCCAAAACTGAGTCTGATGCTTAAAATAATATTAATAACAACCATAATAATAAACAAGTACCTAAATGAAATAAAAATAACACTTACTATATGCCAGACCCTCCTCTAAACACTGGAACTATATTAATTCATTCACAAAAACCTGAAACCTGGGCGCTGGGATTATCACTGTTTGGACACAGGGGAGATGATGTGATGTTACAGGGAGGGTGGCACCTCCAGGCTTGGGCAGAGGCCTGGAGTCGAAGGGACCAGCACCGCCAACACCGGGACTTGGGGCTCTGCCCAGAACGGTGGGGCACTCAGTGGCTGCTGTCCAGCTGCCGGGCCTGTGGTCCGTTGTGACAGTCCCCCAGTGGACGTGACCCTCTGTGTCCAGGAGTTCCCCCGGAGGAAGGAGGAGTCCCGGGAGGAAGAGAGGGGCTTGTCCCCCCCCAGCCACTCCCTGAGTGGCTCAGAGGCCCACCCTCCGGTGGCTCCCAGTCGGGTGGGTGACGGGTTTGCACAGGCGGCTAGAACCAAGTGGTGACAGACACACATGCGGGCGGCCAGGACTCAGGGTGACAGAGACACACAGGTGGCCAGGACTCAGGGGTGACCAGGGTGTCAAGTTGCTCTCCCTCTCCAAGCAAGGTACATCAAAGCAGGAAAATCAAGCTTAGGAGGTGAAAGGCACAGACACACACACACGCACACGCACACACACACCCAGCCAGCCAAGACTCAGGCGAGCTGCACTGTGCCCTGGCTGAGCCCGAGGAGGGACAGACGCCCAGGAGCGGCAGACGGAATGGAGTCAGTATTCACGTGAGAGCTGTGGGGCCCCCTCTACGGCCAGCACCATGGACATTGCAGGGACCAGACGGTGACAGAATCTGCCCCCGGGAGTGCCCAGTCTGGAGACATGGACAACGGGTGGCCAAGGACTAACAGGCAACCATGACGGACACGAGGGCCACAGAGGGCCTCTCTGAGGAGGTGACATCTAAGCTGAGGCCAAAGCTCAGTCAGCCATGCGAAGGGTCCCGAGAGAGCCTGCGTCAGCAGAGTGGAGCACGGGCCAAGGTCCTGTGTGTGGCACCCCAGGGGTGGCCAAAGTGCCGCTGCAGGACTGTAGGGGGGAGGTGGGGAGGGCCCGCCCGCAGGCCTGCAGCAGCTGCAGCAGCCAGTGGGGGCCTGGAGCCTGGCACTGGGGAGCCAGGGCAGTTCCCAGCAGAGCTGGGGCAGGACTCAGTCCCCCTGCAGTGCTAACCCCCAGGGCCTGTGAGGACCTGGCCCTACATGGCAGGAGACCCCGCAAGTGTGACCGAGAGGAGGGGAGGCTGGCGGCGGCCCCATCAGCACAACCCCCAGCCGGCCCCGCCC